TTGTATTCCAAAACAACAAAAGGAGAAGTATGTAGAGTGAAGCAGCATCTTTCTGGTGGTATAGAAATATAACTACTTGCAAAAAAATGTTCATATCATATAAAAGAACTGAAGGTTGAAAGAAATTTTGTACAAAAAATGGAAGATGTTGGGCTCACTTTTGATGAGGAAGGTGATGATTTGTAGGTAAATTATCTAAGGAAGAGGTGTCATCTAGTCGAAGCCATACAAAGATTGTTTAGAATCAGTTAAATCTTCTAGGAAGAAGCCTAGACCAAAGGGTTCAATAAAAAAGAAAAGAGGAAGCATCCATGTCTAAGTATTTTAAGATGGTTTTACGATGCTGGAATTCCCTTGAATGCTTGCAATTATGATAGTTTTTAGGACAGTATGGCGTTGGAATGAAACTGGCTGACTTACTATGAATTGAAAGTGCCAATCGTTCCTTGAATTTCTATGGGAGCTTTTGACCTCTGGATGCTTGCGATAGTGCTTATGATTGTTTCATGGTAGCAAATGTTGTTACAGGGTTTCTTAATTTGGGTGGTCCGATGCTTACCAATTGATATTCTGTACAGTGTGCAGGGTGTCTAAAGTATCACAAACTGGTTGACAATCTTGGTCTTATTGTAGAGTATGACTTCCGAGAGGACGACGTGGATGTGAACTCGAATTCAGATCAAGTTTGATGTGTTTAAATGGTGTCGTTTCCATGTACGACTTTCCTTTCGAATCGTTGTTGAAATATCATTTACATTGCTGATGCACCCTTTTTTTTCCTTATCCCCCTTAGTTATTTGCAATCCCACTGATTCCTCCTGGGACTGATATGGCAGGCAAAATGGATTGTTGGCTATTGCATTTGATCGATAATGATTATAGAAAAGAAAGGTTGTAGGCATCAAAGAATAACCTATTTATTGTCGATCCAAGCAAGAGCACGATGTATAAGACACCAATTATCTTTGATAGTTCGTTCTCCGATTCTTACGATTGTTAGACCTCCAAAAAAGAGAATAATTGAACTGATCATCTCTTTTTGAATCAACAGAACAATATGTGGAAGATGTGATGCATCTTAGTGATAAATTTTGATTAGAAGTTCATCTGTACTTTCACTTGCATCAGACTGGCTCGTCTGATGAGAGATCCTCTCTCTCAATTTTCCTATTTTCTGAAACTCCCAAAAGTTGTTTAAATGAACTTTATCTTGAGTTTTTTTCTTGAGCGGTTACCAATGGTATTAAAGTCAGATACTGGACAGTGTGCCAACGAGGACGATAGTCTCCAAAGGGATGAATTGTGAGATCTCATATAGGTTGGAGAGTGAAACGAAACATGGAAACTTCTTCATACAAGGTGCAGGAGTTCACTGATCGCGTAAGCTGAAGCTCATAGTAGAACACAACCATCTGGGGCCGTCGGGTAAATGCCGCAGCTTTGAATCGGTGGGCTGACTCGCCGATACTGGAAACAGAGTTCAGAATCAGAAGACATTGATAGACGATAACCCCGACCAGATTTCTGGGCTCCAAAGTTCAAATGTAATCGGCCCGACCCAAATATTATTTTCATAAATGGGCTCATATCAACCGGCCCATTCTTAAAATGGTACATTTAGAATTGGGCTTTTACTAACACCGCTCGGCCCAAATGAAACGCTTAGAAATGTCGGTGGCTTGATTGAAGATAAGAGGGTGTGGAAGGAAATTATGTGATAATTGTTCATTTTCGGGAACATTTCCCTAAATTTTAAATAAAATTTGTTATAAATTACTCGCATTTATCAAAATTTGGAGTTTTAATAGATACCATTTAGTTTGTTTGTTTCAATAAATCTTTAAATTTCTAAAAATGATTATTTAATTATAGATTATATTTATATTTGTCCACATGTTCAAAAGGCTGAATACTATAAACAGAATTAAAGTAATAAATAAATAAATAAATGTAGGAAAGGAAAATAGGAAAAAAAGGAATGATCATTCGGCCGACATTTTCGACTTGGGATTTCTTTTTTTCTTTTTTCCACTGAAAAATCATTTAAATTACAATAATACCCTTACCACATCCGAGGCATGAGCACCACAAGATCGAACCCGACCCATCATCCCCGTTATTAGTTCACCCACTTTCACACTTGGCCCAATCATCGTCTTCCACGTCATCCCTGCGTTTTTTTTTTTTTTTTTTTTTGGTTTCTT